TCAAGATTTTCTGTATGTCAGGTTCTTGGGAGGAAGGGAGAGGTGAAGGTTGCTGTTGTTTTGGCTGTCTCTCTCCTTCTTTTTGCTGGACATATTGGGTCAGAAATTGTTGCTGAAGCTGTGATTGGCCTAATCCATCATCCATTCTCTCTTTCAGTATTTTCACTTCTAGTAAAGTAGCTTCTAGTTGAGAAGAGACTAATTTCGAAGTGTCCTCTTGGTCTTCACCATATTGTGCATTGCTTTGAGCTAGATTCTCAATCAAAGCCAAACCATCATCCACATCTTGAGCAAGAAAGTTACCTCTACTAGCTGTATCAAGAAGTAGTCTCATCTTAGGCAAGACACCTCTATATAGTGTAGATAACAGCGCCTCCTTTGTGAAACCATGATGAGAGCATTGGACTGTGAAGCTCCTAAACCTTTCCCAAGCATCTGAAAAAGTCTCATTGGACCATTGGTGGAAGTTGTAAATCTCATTTAGAAATCTGGCTGTCCTAGAAGGAGAGAAGAACTTGGTTAAGAAAGCAGTTTTGCATTGAGCCCATGTTGTGATGCTTCCTTGCTGCAAACCTTTCTTCCATAGTTGGGCTCTATCTCCAAGTTAGAAAGGGAAGAGTCTTAGCTTCAAACCATCATCAGATAAACCACTCATCCTAGCCATAGATCATATCCTCTCAAAGTTATCTAGATGCTTAAGTGAATCTTTATTAGGCATCCCAAAGAATCTGCTGTCTTGGACCATTGCAATCATCCCTTTTCTGATCTCAAAGTGACAGTCTTCTAGAGGAGGAGTGATCCCATATCTTGAAGCAAAAGATGGTATATCACCAGCTCCTATAGGTTTTGGTGGCTTTTGATCTCTCAAACCCCAATCACCTTGCAAATCATTTGGACCTTGCTGTCCTTGTAAACCTTAGATCCCTTGTGGACCTTGAAGACCTTGTGAACCTTGTAGACCAAAACTAGCAGCATAAGGATGCTCTTCCATCCTTCAACAACTGAGAACTGCTACTGTGAACTCAAAATACTGCTCCTTAAACCTCTTGTGCAGTTGTAGACACTTGAAAGCAAGTGTTTAGGTACCTACAATAGAGATTCTAGACCAAAAGAGATATTAGTAACCAAAAACAAAAATAAAGGCTTGATCTCAAATAATCTACAAATCATAATGCTTAGAACAATTTCAAACGGCAATGGCGCCAAATTGATGTAGGAGTTTACTCTACTTCAAATCCTACATATACTCATATCATTGTAGTATGTAGGTATCAATCCATAATGGGAAGGTAAGACACTAAGGTTGCAATAGACTATCTAATTCAAGCAAGCATAAGAAGATGATTGAAATTATGAATCTAACAACTAAAAGAAACTTCAAATAAGCAATAGCAAGTACAATAAACAGAGAAACTAAGGCAAGTTCTAATTCAAACAATCAAAGACTAGTAGGCTTTAGATAGGGTAATTTATCTAGGGAGACTTTCAGCTTAACTAATGATGCTTACAAACCCACAACAAACTATTCTTAGGCATAGAATTAACAGCTATAACTAGCTCAATCCCTTGACACTAGCCACTTTGCCAAGCAAATATCCAAGATAAATTCATTTACTCAAACACATGATAAATAAGCATTACAAGAAACTAATCCAATTCTATATTGCCAATCTACTCCTTAGACCGCTAATTTCCTAGGCTAAGATACGCAAATCTCTTACTTGACTCATTCAGGCATTTCATCAAAAACTTATCAGGCATAAGAGAACCCTAGGATCTAAATCAACTTAGCAAGAGCTAATCTAGCATTAAACATAATCAATAAGAAAGAACAATAATATTAAGCATTAAGCAATCACTAATCTAGCCTCAAATCTTCCTATCTCTATCCCATCTCAAACCCTAATATAACTACTCACTAATCATGATCTTAATCACAACCCAAAGCAAAGGAGAATGACAAATCATAATTAGAAAGAAGATAAACACCAACTTTTGATTGCAAGAACAAGATTCAACAAGAAATTACAAGAAAAACTAAGAAGAACACAAAGGACAAAGCTATTACCTAAAGGATAAAGATGAAAAGAATATCCTCCCCATGTTTTTTAGGTCATAACTACTTATAGTTTTTAAGAAAAAACCTTAGTAAACCGGAAATAAACCAGAAAGCAGCTCGTTTGGACGCCTGATATCGACTTGCTACGTCGATGTGCTGGTCGATATTGGTTGGCAGAATATGGTATTGATCGAGTCTAGTCGATCCCTTGATCGATACAGTCGCCTTTGGCTAAGGAATCTCGGTTAATCTCCCCGGTACGCTACTCGATACAATCACCCTTTAGTTAAGGATTATTGAGCTCCAAAATCGATACTCTGATCGATACACTTCTTGGCTTTATGTATCGAGATGCACCTATGTCGATATGCTGACCGGTACAGACTCTTTGAAGGTGGTGTATCGGCTAGAGTGGCTTGATACTCTTTGCAAGTCCTGTCTCCTTGTATGGACTTCGGGACCTCGATGTGTTGATCGGTATACCTCCTCAGCATGTATCGACGTGTGATGTCGATATGTTGCTATGTACGCTATGTATCGACTTGCTAAGCCGATACCCTGCTCGATATGAAGCCTTCTCACCTTGGTTTCTTCACCTAATGACTCCCAGCTCTTCCCTTAGTCCTTAAACTCCCTCAATGCACCTGCTAAGTGCTCGAAATGCACCTAATATGCAATGCAACTCCTAATTATACTCTAAATGCTAAATAGGTGCAATTGGGACATGAACATGTAAATAATGCATGCTTAAGGATCAAAAACTAGTGCTAAATATATGCTAAAATGGTATAAATATAGTGTATATCACAAACAAACACAAAAACAACACTTAAGTTTTTTTTTCTACTCAGAATAAAGTAAATTTTTTTTTTCAGAAGCAGCTATGATATATATACCATCACGTGTTATCTTAGAAATTGGAATGCGTCACTTTTTCTTTTTCTTTTATTTTATTTCTACTATATTTTTTTTTCAAACTAACACAAAAACAAAAGCTTCAGTTTTTTTTTCTCCAATAATTTTTTTTCATTCAACAAACATATACAAAAAAAAACTACCTAACAAAGTACAAATCCAATTGTCACTTTTTTTTAACCTCTTATGTATTCACTTTCATCGAGCAGATACAAAAACAAGGTTTCGGTTTTATTTTTTCGTTTTCTACTAGATTCTCTTTTATTATGTCTCATAATATATCATATTATTTTAGTTTAAAAAATAAATTTAAGAGATTACTGTGTCATCCTTTCTGTCCAAAAAAATAGACTCATTTCTTCATGTTTTCTTTATGGTCAATCAAACAAAAAAATTATACACTATTTGCTTTCATGAAATCTTTTTACATTAATAGCTAACTACTTCATTTCCTACTACATCGAACCTCAAACAACACTATCATAATATGGATTCTACTCTCGAGAACCTTTTTTTAGTCATACTTGATGGCAGCTTCACTTTCCTAACAGGGTTAAACCTCACATTATTATTTCACCAACTTTTTAATACAAAATTTGAATAGTATTTACAACTTATAAACTAATATTTACTAATAAACTTTTATTAACAAATATAAAATAAATTATAAAACTAAAATAGTTAATATATCACAAATCTGCGCAACTTTCTCTGAATATTATATAGATATTAATCTAACATAATTGCTTTTGAGCAATTTCCCTAAAACATGTAACTAAAATCTAAAGAAAAATAGTTAATTTAATGAGAAAATTATCCAGAATAACTTGATTTCTTTTAAAAATAGCTAGAGTAACCCACTAAATTTAAAATAGTAAGAATAACCTACTAATCATCCAATCAATTCTGTAATTTCTAAACTGTTCTTTTATAATTTCTGTATTAATTTCTTACAACCAAATCATCAAACCGTACAAATATTTTTTAGTTATTGTTTATCAAAAAAAGGAAATATAAAAATATTATTATTGTTTTATTTTAAAACCTAAATAAACGTTATCAAAATGAAAACACTTTAAAACCCCTTTTTCTTCTTATAGCCTGTTTTTCTTTCAAATTCGCCTAAAACTTAAATCGATTTCGTCAGATTCACCAAATCTATTTTTGTTGGAACATAATTTTGGCAAATGGTTCAGACCAATTTTCCGGCAACATTTCCGGTGAGCACAGTAATCGAAATGACCGGATTATGGATTTTTTAGATTCTTTGTAATGAGTACTATAAGATAATGTATTCATTTGTCAAAAAAGAAGTTGATTTGAATGAGAAATCTTTGGTCAAAGTGGACATGTAATTAAGATAAAAAGTCAACAAATATCAAGATGAGCATTTGTCTCACATCGAAAGTTGGAAAAAATTTCCACTAGTATATATAGTGATACATCTCAACAAGGTCCACTAGCCTTTAGAATAGAACACTATGGAAAAAGAGATAAAGGGCTGTTATGCAAAATCACACACACGTGCACGCCGCTATGAGCCGAACCGGGCTTGGGTCTTGGATCTTCAGGGCTTTAGCTCACAAAAAATGTTTTTTGGAGTAAATACTTATTTTCACAAATATGTAAGGGAAAATTCCAAAAAAATACACTAACTAAATTTCTATAAGTTTTTTAATACCCAACTTATTTTTCTACCCAGTTTATTATCCCAACTAATATTTTTGTCCAGTTAAATTCATCAGTTGTGGATCGTATATTATATCTACATTGTATACGAAACGTCTGTTACCGGATTTATGAACGGCGTTGACAGTCCGTCATCGATTTAACTACAGTTTACACTGGGGTTTAAGTATCCAAACCCAATAAATTTGACCCAGAAACCCGACCCAACTAACTAGTAAACATAAATTCTTTACCCCAACAAAAACCAAAAATCCCCAAATTCGAAACCTAAATCAGTTCTGTTTATCGATGAACCCTAAATCGATAATTGACTGAGTTAACACAAAATCAAAGCAAGATGAGGTACGATTTTAGACTGATTGTTGATTTCGTATTCGTTTTCCATGAAATATCTATGAAATTGTTGATTTCAAATTCTTTTATGTGCAGTGACGAAGACGAGAAGCTGAAGATACATATTCACTATGGAGGTGTAATGTCGAAGGAAGGGAACAAGCTACGTTATAAAGATAGATCGCTTGCCCCAGATATGTTGGTAGATCCAGATTTTCTCACATTCTCGATTTTTGAAGATTTTAGCAAAAATAAAGAAGTTGTGTGTGATGTCGAGAAAGCCTGGTATAGACTACCAACTGAGGATATGTCAATGGCAAGATTGATATGGCAAGATAAAGATAGAGAGCTAATGAAAATGGCTTCAGAAGCAAAAGAATGTGGAGAGGTTTACATCTACCTTGGGCATAGTGTTTCGCAACAAAGTGTTGAAAATAGTGCGAGTTTGATGACTAATGTTGATGAAAATGAGGCTATCGAAGAGTGCTTGGATGATGGTGAGAATGCTGATGATGAATACGGTGGTGAGGAAGAGGATAGAGAGGAAGAAGAAAGCGATGCTGAAAACCGAGAGGGAGAAAGTAGTGAAGAGAGAGAGGAAGAAGTTGGTCATGAAGAAGAAAGAGAGCCATCTGAAACGAGACAAGAAGAGGAAGTGCCATCTGAAACGAGACAAGAAGAAGAAGTGCCATCTGAGGATGAGAATCAGATATTAGATGAAGGCGGAGCTGATGACCCACGGTTTGCAAACTTGTTTGCTCTAGCTGAAGTAGAAACACCTACCGTTCATTCCAAGGCTAGTAAGGGTAATGTAGATGATGAAGCTGGTCATGACAGTGATATCGAAGGTGAGAGACTTCTTCCTCCCGGTGAATATCCAGATTCACCAGAAGACACTGTTGAAGAATGGGCAAATTGGGAGAAGAAGGATGAGTATGGAAGACCTCGTAAGCAAAGAAGTAAAGCAGAATATGACAAGACTCCATACTTATGGCTGATGCAAACTTTCAACAATGGAGATGATTTCAAGGATCAACTGCTGAGGTATGTGTTGAAAACACAGTTTGAGGTGAAGTTGAATAAGTGGCAACCTGACAAGCTCGCAGCAGTATGCACACATGATGAATGTAAATGGACGATCTATTGCTCTGTGGAGAAGCCCATAAGGAAATGGATGGTGAAAGTATATGAATGGCAGCACAATCATTTGCCTACAGGAAGAGCTCGGATGATGAAACAGGGGACGATTGCAAGACTGTTCAAAGAGGAAGCGAGAAGAAGACCTGATATAAGGAGCTCTGATATCAAGGATGAGTTAATGCAGAGGTACAACATCTCAGTTTCAATCTTTAAATGCCAAAAAGCAAGGAGAATTGCCTTAGATATGGTTTTAGATACCCAAAAAGAGCAGTTTGCTAAGTTATGGGACTATGAGGATGAGTTGGTGAGATCGAACAAAGATATTACAACCGAGATTGTGACAGTTGAGAAGGATGGAAGACAGGTATTTGAAGCTTTCTATGTTTGTTTTGAACCACTAAGGAGTACTTGGATGCACTATTGTAGACCCTTGATAGGCGTTGATGGTGCCTTTTAAAAGTCGGAGTTGAAAGGAGAGATATTAGCAGCAGTTGGTAGGGATGCTGAAAATAGGATATTTCCTATAGCTTGAGCTATCGTTAGAGGTGAAAATAAGGAGTCTTGGGAATGATTTTTCAAAAAGTTGACGGCTGACTTAGGCTTGGGTGTAGGAGATGGCGTTACCTTCATATCTGACAAACAGAAGGTATACTTTCTTTTCTTTTTAACTTACTAAATTTTTCTAATCTTTTAAGTAGTAATTTCACTGTTTTATGTCTAAATGATCGTTTATTTTTTGCAGGGTTTAAAAATAGCTCTTGCTACTGTACTTCCAAATGCTGAGCATAGAAATTGTGCGAACCATGTTTATGGTAACTGGAAAAAGAAGTTTGGGGATGTTGACTACAAGCCTTTTTTCTGGAATGTGGCTTACAGCAAAACTAAGGGAGAGTACACGATGCACATGGAGGAGCTTCTCGCATACGACAAAGATGCTCATGATGCTTTGTTGAAAGTTGATCCATCTACTTGGAGTCTAGCTTTCTTCTCGACAAATGCCAGATCTGCTAATGTTTGTAACAGCTTATCAGAGAGCTTCAACCGGACTATCAAAGGAGCTAGAGAACTGCCTTTGATCAATATGTTGAAAACAATTAGGAGGCAGGCTATGATGCGTATTGCTCGGAGATATACGAAAGCACACAGTTGCATACTGCCTTTCCCTAAGAAGATTGCAGATATATTAGAAGTAAATAGAGAAGAGAGCAAATACTGCACTGTAATGACAAGTTCAGACAACTTGTTTGAAGTGTTATTATACGGTTGTAGCTATGAGGTTAGTCTTCGGCTGCAAAGCTGTGTTTGTAGGGAATGGGACCTAACTGGCATACCTTGCCCACATGCAATCAGAGTGATCAATGACAACCACCAAAAGCCTGAAAAGTAAGTAATAACCGTTGTGTTTGTTGATACTTTTTTCTTGTTTTCTTTGTTTTAACTTGATTATCTTTTCATTGTAGCCATGTCGAATATTATTACAAGACTGAAGTATGGATAGCAACATACATGAACAACATAAAGCCAGTCAATGGAGAAAAATTTTGGGAGAAAACTGCTAAAGAACCCATTGGAGTTCCAGGTTTCAGAAAGATGCCAGGAAGACCTAGGAAGAAGAGGATAAAGCCAGCACATGAGTCTCCTACGAAACCAAATAGAGTGACCCGAGGTGGTAGGACCGTAACGTGTGGCAATTGTAAGCAAGAAGGACATAACCGTGGCACTTGCAAAAATGAATTCTTCGCTGTCTACGGTCCATCACGTAAACGTGGAAGACCTCGTAAGGTAAATCACTCTTCTTCGTATATAAAGTAAAGCATCATTCCTCATATGTAAAATAAGCATTTTTCTCACATTTTTCCTTCAAAAATCTCAGGATCCTGGAAGCAGCGACCCATATCCACCAAGAAAACGCAAGGCTACTACCAAGAAATCACAGCTTTTTACACCTAATCAATCCCAACTTTCTCAACCTTTTATTGCACATGCAGCTGCATCATCTACCGCACATGCAGCTGCGTCATCTACCGCACCTGCGTCATCTACTGCAGCTGCATCATCTACTGAACCTCAACCGAAGCGTCGTGGACGTCCTCCTGGAAGAGGAAATGCTCGTAAGGTGACAGTGCCGAGAGGAATTGGCGTGTACATGTGCTCATTCTCTAATAGGGTTTTTGAATGCTTTGGTTCAACATCAAGAGAGGTAACAGGTGGCTTTTCCCAAGGACCAAACTCACGCAAGTAGTGTGTGTTTTTTTTGGTTTTGTTATGTTTTGTATCGGCTTTAGTTGGTGTGTTGTACTGTTATCTAAACTCTCTTTCCAAACGTTGATTTGGTTTTGTTTTTTATCGGCTCTTTTGGTGTCTTGTAGTACTTTAAACTCAGATTATGATGGCTTTTGGATGCCTCTAATTGCATCTTCCTTTTATCGGCTCTTTTGGTTATGTCTTTATTTTGTTTGCATTTGAAAATCTCATTTGTGAATTGAAAAGACTTCCCAACACAATAACATTAAAACTAAAACCTTACATTACAACCATTGTCATTACACAACAAACTTCAAAGCTAAAGCTACAAGCAATAGAACCAAATGGGTCCATACAACTTACTTCAAAGCATTGATGATTACAGCAGTGACACCTACAAATCCGACCCATGAAATTACCACAAACTGTCGCAGAAGCTTCTCCTTTTCAATTGACGATGCAATCTCTAGCTTCAGCTTCTTGTTCTCGTTTTCAATCGCCACCAACAACTCTGATTCTTCCTTTCCTTCTTCACTTTCAACCGTCGTATGTCCCACCAAAGCTCTCAACTTCTTCAGCTCCTCAAATTGCTCACGGATTAGATCTCGAGCTTCCAACAGAGCCGTTTTTTGCCAACCGTGAGGCTTCTCAATATCAAACCAGCAAAAGAAATTGCAGGACTTCCAGTTTACATCTCCAAAACCGTATAATCTTCTCCCAGGATTATCATCTGTCCACGCCTGTTTCACAGGGGACGGCTTTCCACAGTGAAATCTCACTTCACCCATCATTATGCTCATTCCTCCACTGATTGCGTTCGAGTTTGACCGGCTTGCGTTCGAGTTTGACCGGTTTGCGTTCGAGTTTGACCGGCTTCCAGAGCTTTCGCTTCGATTCTTCATCTTCTCCATTGTTGTCTCTCTCTCACTCTCACGATAATGTCGAAGCCAAAATCAATTTAAGGATTCTAAGGTTCTCAATTTAGGGATTTATAGAAGGGAAATTGTTTTAGACTAACGGCTAGCTCTAACTATGATTAAATCATGGTTACTATATTAACAGAAAATTTGTAGATTTTTAACATCGTTTACAGTGGCGTTAATCGCTGTTAATAAGACATCTCACAGTCCATAATTGATAAATTTAACTGGACAAAAATATTAGTTGAAATAATAAATTGGGTAGAAAAATAAGTTGGGTATTAAAAAACTTATAGAAATTTAGTTAGTGTATTTTTATGGAATTTTCCCAATATATAAAGATCATGTTTAGTCCAAATCTTTGTCTGAAAAGAAATAAAAGATTTCTAAAATATTTCTGTTTCTCTTCATAATCGTTTATTATTGATTTATATCTTTTTCAGATTTGTGATTTTTAATCTGGATTTTCATGTTCATACGATTTTTTCTTCAAGCTTCATAGCAGTTTTGTCTCCAGATTACTTCGTCACCAGAAACATAAATCACTTTTCTCTGATTCCTCTGTTTTAGCTCCAGATTTACTTCTGGTTTCTTCAAATCGGTTTACCTTCATCGTACATGCATCTGCAATTGTTATTCCCTCAGACTCTAAGGTAATATGATATTGAATAAGGGCTTTTTTTGTCAAAAATATAAAACAAATTATAAATCATATTTTCTTCTTCAGATTGTACCAATTAGCGATTAACTAGTTTCTGCAATTCACAGGCACTTTTAATAACTTTGAATCCATTTTCACATTACACGATTTTTTAATTGCCTGTTAAGAGTTTTCTTTTTCCATTCGAATTGTTTTTTAAATTATAAAATCGTATTGAACGGAAGTTGTTCGACAGAATGCCTGTGAGAGAGTTGTTGTCATGTATAATTCTGTTTGTCTGTGTTGAACATCCTACAAAATCTACTTTATGAAATGATGTTCTTTTTATTCTGTGTGCAGACACATCTCCATGGCTCCAAGATGGAAGTGGAAAGGTGCTGAAGCTAAGGCTCTTGCAGAACCTATCTCGAAAACAGTCTCAGATCTTCAGTCTTCTTTGGCACGAACCAAGGCCTCGGGTTTCCTCTCAAGCTGCAACGTCCTACTATCCGTTGAACCAGAGCAAGCCGAGCTTTTGGACCGCTGTTGTTTCGGTAGACCCGTTGTTTGTGCCGAGAAAGACAAGAGATGGATCCAATTAACTTTCGAAGAAGCTTTCTTTTTGTTCTACAGATTGAAATGCATCAAGATTTCCTTCGAAGTTCGTTTCTTGGAGAACAAGGTTGAGTTATGGCGATTCATAAGGGCCTCTAAGCCAAACTTTGCTACTTCTTACAAGGCTTATTCTCATCTACGATCAAAGAACTGGATTGTGAGATCAGGGTTACAATATGGAGTTGATTTCGTGGCGTATAGACATCATCCGTCTCTTGTCCACTCTGAATACGCAGTTTTGGTTCAGTCCGTTGATGAGAATGACCGGTTAAAGGTGTGCTCAGATATTCATTGCAGTGTTCGGCTAACAGGAAGCGTGGCCAAAACATTATTGGTTCTTAACATCAATGGAGAAGTAAACAGAGAGGAAATGAATCTTCCTTTGTGTTTAGAGGACTACACAGTGGAAGAGCAAATACTACGTAGATGGAGTCCCGAACTTAGCCGTGAAGATGAAAACAGAACATGATTTGGCTTTATGATCCTTAAACCGTTTGAGATTTTTCATTTCCGGTTAGATATCTCAGTCCACTGTCACAATTATTTTCAGTTAAAGTCGTGTGTTGTAATTGCTTATTTAAAGAAGTATTTTCACATAAATAATATACACACACAAGAAAAAATGTGTTACATACCAAAAAAAAACAAACACAAAAGTACTAAAAGAGTTCAAAATAAAAACATAAATCAAAGCATCATCGGATTTTGATTAAACTGTACGAAACTTTTGATCAAAGGTGGAAATGACTAGGGTGCGATTTCGTCATCCTAGCTTCACCGGCCGGTTCATCGTTATCGATCCTCTTGACATTCCTATAAGCCGCATAAGCAATCACGTAGAAGATAACGAGAATGATAAGCACGACGATGTTGATCACAGACACTTTTCTCCAGCTCTTCTTCAAGCTCCCGAGAACACCGGCTTTACAAGAGCTGCACTGGTAACAGAGCATGCTCTGTTCGTTGTTCCACAACATACAGTCCGGGTTTGTTGGTCCTATCGTCCCTCCTCCTTGCATCCAATACGTCTCGTTACCATATGAAAACCCACAATCTGTTGGCGGCTTGCAACATCCAGACTGCAATTTAGCAACAATCACATATCATGATCCGCACTAAAAAGACGACACTCTACCTTAAGACAAGCATAGATAAATAAACAAAACAGAGTAGTTCTAGAGATATATGATGTATGACAAAACAAGGACATGAACAACTACTCTTTCGAAAAATCCATGCATCGTCATCATTGTTTTGGTTACTCACGTGTATTTGAGTATATATGTATATTTATTTTCAAAAAGTTTTATAAAGTTTTTTGGGGTCGGTCCAAAAGCTAAAAATAGATTTAACGTATAAAGAACAAAACTGCAAAAGGCCAGCAAAATTGCAGTATCTCTGGCCAATAAGAATAGAAGGATTAGTCAATCATTGTTCAAAGAATCATACACATGCTCAAAATTTGTTTCATTTATGGCTTCCACACAACAATCAATCAGGTTGAATAATAAATTAAATATATATTTGTTTCATTTATGGCTTCCACGCATTAAGAAATTAAAATGTTCTTGTTTATTAATTTATTTTAACTGGAGTAAGCTAGAGGCAAAGCTAAATCAGATCTATACTCCATACTCATAGTCAACTAAGTTAATTATAAAAACAGTTATGAACAAAATTTTATTATTATCTATTCAATAATTGAGACTCTAGTCATATGGGTCATGAAGAAGCTATGGAGGACCAAAATTATTATTTCAAGAAAATAAATTTAAAGCTGTCCTCAGAAAAGGAAAAAAAAAACTATTATCCACAAACTTTTCAAAATTTTCTGAATCTGAATATTCCAGAATTCAAAATCAACCATCAGATCCATTACTAAGCAACTTTAGTGTTTGAATTAGGTTTTGATTCCAAATTTGAATATTTTTTTTACCTCTACAGGGCTAAGCCTTCTGAGGAAGAACATATCAGCAGTTTCAGGGACGCCATTAAAACCTCTCCCGATCTTCCTACAAGCTCCAGAATCCCTAATACACGAGCTGATTTTCCCCCAATACCCATCATCGGAGACCCGATCTTTCAACCAACCGGAATAATCCGAGAGATAATAATCCAGATAACCCCGGTTAAGCACGGTTCGACCGGATCCTTTGTCTGTTACGGCGTAAGCGAAGATGATGAATCCGATTAGAGCGGCGATGATGAGGAGCATGGCGACGAGGTACAGCCACATGAGGAATTTGTTACGGTAACAAGCTCCGGCGAATCCGGCGAGTGATACGACCATGATTGAGACTCCGATGACGATGAGCGGCCACTGGAGGAATCGCAAACAGTCGGTTGAGTTTGCTCGGCTGCTTAGCCATATTCCGCCGCCGAGAATTGGGATCGATAGGAGGAAGGTGAGGAAGTTGACCATACCTATTAGATGGTTGCTCGATCTCATAGCTTTTTTGAAGTTTTGATTTCTCAGAGATTTTTTTTTTTGTGTTGGGTTTTGAGATTTTTGTTAGCTCTGTTTTCTGTGCAGAGAACTGTAAAATGCAGAGCTTTAAAGAAGAAGTGGGGTGATGTTGACGATGATGGGTTTACATATGTGCACATGCTGTGACACGTGTCGTTTTAAAGGACGGAAGTATTCGTCTGTTGTTTCGTCTAGTACAGACTATTTTTCTTTTTTTGTAATTGGGTAGTATGTTCTTATTGTCATTTTAAATTTTTTTGGGTCAAGTGTCATATTGATTAATAATACGAATATCAAAGAAAAATTGTTTCTTATTTTTGTCGTGACTCGTCAGAAAGATACTTGAATCTATAAATAAATAATCAAGATCTAAACTGTTATATAAAAAGTTGAAGAAATTATACGTTTTTGCATAATAATGGTTTTGAACGATTAAGATCCACATATTCATATATTAGTGGAATAGTGACCTTTGTCGGTAGGTCAGTGATATTTTGAAAGATTTTTTTCTTTTGTAATCCGTGGATAAATCCAACTGAACAATTAACTTAGGGTGATGAAGTCAAATTCATCACTTAGGTCACTGATATTTTCTAATTTCTATCTCTTAAAAAGTAATTTTAGTTACTGTGCCACTAACTAAAATCGTATAAAAATGGAAAGACTAGTATTAAATTTGTGAGGTGGTTCATAACTGCCTGCCTGGCTTATAATTAAATAAAGAGTAATACTAGTAGTATATATAATTCGATGTGTAGGGGAATAGTGCGGCAATACAAGGAATCGATTCCTTTCTGCAGATTCAATTCAATTATCACAACGTACTAATAAATATGTATATTATGATAAGATCATAAGAATACATGCATATGGTTGAATACATGTGATGTATTATGTATTTATGCTTATTCTCTAGTTCAGCTGGATATGCATTAGGATATGACGATTAAATTTCGATTACTAGCTAACTTAAGATAATCTGCCCTGAAAAAGGTATAGCTCGAGGTGAGAACCAATTTTTTTTTTGGTCAACGATTGATTAAAATAAGAGCAAAAGGTTCTACAATTGGCCCAATAGACTTAACAAAGCTTTTAAATAGCGAAATCGTCTGCAACAGAATTTGCAGCACGAAGAATGTAACTAAAAGATAAGAAAGAGAAGAGAGGAACAAAGTTTCGGATGTCGTTCAGAATACCCGTGATCTCAATCAAATCCGACCCTGAAAGCAGGGCGTTAATAAGAACTACCGAGTCCAAATGGAGGTGAAGTTCTCGAATCTCCAGCAAGAGGGCTTCATGAAGAGCTGCTAGGACTGCCAGGACTTCAGCTGTGAGGGCTAAGGAGATGAAGCGTCGAGCAGATGAGTTTTCCCGGATGATGCCGCTTACGGGGCTTGAGATGACCCAGCCCATGCCTCCCGTTTGAGAATCGGCTTTCCAGGCACCATCAGAACAGCAGACGAAGGTTGAGAGGGACGGAGTGGGGATCGTTGCTTTTAGAGGTCTCGACTGGGTCTGGGCTGGGGTCTAGTTGGCTGCATGCCACTGGGAAGCCTCCAGGGTGGCTTTTTTAACCAGGTCAAGGTCTGGGAGACTCGCCCCTTCAAAGATTAGTCTTAGTCTGTTTCTGGAGGTCCAGAGGTACCAAAGTATCCAGGGGTAGAGATGGGCGTTCTGAAGTCCCGGAGAGGGAGGGATTTTTGTCTTGTAAAGGTTACGAAGGAGGCTACGCGGATCGGAGTTTAACGGGAGAGCCGAAGGATTCAGCAACAAAGGAGACAGGCGCCATACCTCTTGAGCGAAAAGGCAATCGTACCAGATATGCGAAATGGATTCCTGGGTTCCACAGCGAGAGCAGCATGTATTGGCTTCTATGCCTCGTCAGAGGAGGTTTTCACCCACCGGGAGTGCTCCGTTCGACTCTCTCCAGAGAAAATGCTTGATTTTCTGCGAGGTATGCAAGTTCCAAATGTACTGGTACCAGCTGAATTCTGTTTCTCCTAATTTGTTGAATCTTTTCTGAAGGCTGTAACCTGTTTTGGTTGTAAAATTCTCTGATTTTGCAGGTAGCCAGACGAGTGCATCCGGAGGCTTTAGTGTGCTTGGGATGAGTAGTCTGATGCTATCTTCATAGTGAGGTAAGTGGTCCCGGATTGCCTCAAGGTTCCAGAGATTTGAGTCAGTATGCAAGAGATCTTTGACTTTTAAGGTGGCGTTTGATTTTGTAGGAATGCCTATAGGAGTGAGTGGTACTGAGGTGGATAGCCATGGTTCCGAACAGACATTAATGTCTTGTCCATTGTCCACGATCCATCCTAGGCCCTTCTGAAGTACCTTCCTCCCCTCAAGGATACCTCTCCAACCGTGGGAAGCCCCAACAGAGCACTCAACCTCCAATTAAAAGGTGAAGGTGAGAACCAATTAATAATCAATATATGTGGTTTATACTCTTATTGCCAAGATAAATTATTGTTCATCAAGAAGACGAACTGGAGTCGGAAATGTCATTCTTTTGTGTTACAATTGGAAGAGATAATGTATCGATTCAGACTGGAAATAGACTTATCATCATCCACCAGGTATTTCTTTTTCATTTGCCCATATCTCAATTTCTACTTTCAAAGTTCGTAGTTTGTTCTGTAAAAAAACAAATTTTCATGCAGAAAAAAGAAACAATTATGAGAAAATTCGTTTTTAGTAATTTGAAGTTAACAATGATGGACTTGAGCTTTATAACACCATACAACTTCTTGCTTAATAGTATGTATTATGGGAATATGATAATCAATTCTGTTGGTTTAGCGGATTTGAGATATTATTATGCCTCCTCGGTTAAGGCCCAATGGTCCATACGATAAATAATTAAATACTAACTGACAGATATTTAAAGTATACACACGTGTTGTATTTAGTATATGCATAGTTTAATGGGTTTTCTACCTTTTAACTCGTAATTTTATGTTGACAAAAAAAAAATAATAACTCGTAATCTTATAAAGTTTTGAAAAATAACCCTTCACCTTTTAAAAATGCAGGTCAAAGTTTTACCTTACAATGATAACTTGCTTTATTAGAGTATTTTAGGTTGTATTTCATACATTTTTCCCTTATTTTTGCATTATAGTTTAGTATTTTAGTCTCATTTGCACTTAGAATCAATAATTCATGCATTTAGTTTATGATTGCATACATATGCATATATTTGCATGTTTATAGTGTTTCTCAGGTGTTTCTGGAGGTTCTTGTAGTTCGGGGAGGAGATGGAAGCAGCAAATGTTCAAAGAGATGTCAAAGAAGGAGATTTGCCAAGTCTGGTCCTATATCGAGATGGTGCATCGAGCAAAACCTCCGAGGAGTGTGTCCGATACAAGCTGCAGTACGTGAGGAAGAAGACTAGCTCGTGGATCCTAAGGCACAGTGTAACACCCCCGATTCGATCTATACTCAAGGCCAAACCGCAGATGTCACAAAGTCAAGGTTTACTCGATAAGTCAGCCCGTCTTAGAACGAATCCAAGGTTAAGACCGTCTCGTCAAGTTAGCTCGAACCCTCTCGACCAAGGCCTAAGGCTTTTCAACCCATACCCCAATCTTGAGTTGTGTTAGTCCGGACTAGACTAATATCATTAAGCAAGTCCAAATTTGTAAAAAAACGTACTTATTATTAATACCGTAATATTCTCAAAGTACGTTCTTACAAACTTATATAATGCTGCAGCGGAGGGTAAACCCAAAAAGGCATTGAGTGCATACTTTACCTTACAACCAAGTTTTACAAAAGCCAAACGCAAATCTACTCCGGTGTCCTAACGTTCCGCTCCGCTTACTATGGCCACTTACGGGTTACCTGTAGGAAGGAAGTGAGGGTGAGTAATCTAATATTACTCAGTGAGTCCAGGACCCTCTAACAGTATAATCCCCAAAATCCCCAAACAAAACCCCCAAGCAACAAGCAAGCAAACAATCACGCAATAGCCGAAGCAACGCAAAAATAAATAGCCGAAGCATGCAACCCTAAATCTATATGCAAGCGCTAAACTATATGCAAACGTGCCACCACTTCCGCACCACACCGCGTTTTCACAACGCACACACACTACCACACACCACACACCACACTCGTATGGACACAAAGATCTCTAAGTGTGTCGGCCAGTTCCCCTCCGTGATCACCCTGCACTTGACTATCACAAAGACAAGCCAAGCCGGAACATCACTACTACGAACACCCTGCACTTGGCTATCACAAAGACAGGCCAAGCCGGAACATCGCTATACCCTGGGAGCTCCTCGGTCGGTTCACATCTCGGTGGGGTTTCCATCCGAGAGCCGCCAAGAGAGTTCACATCCCAGGCGGGACTACCATGAGTCCTCGCTGATTTCCCACTATCCTGTCGGATAGTACTCGGCCATAGGCTTGCAAGGCCCGTCCATCTCCGAGTCCTCCCATCTAGCAGTACATTCGCTAACCATGAGGATCGGGAAACTCCGACCACACCGTCACTAAGTCATGAAGGATAACACGCCACCAACATGACTCCACAATATAATGGATCACACACTATTATACTTCACACCGCGTTGATCCACACTTGATCAAACGCCAACACAATCCACACAACCTCCAAGAAGTTAGCGCCCTAGAGTGACGGCAAAGCCAGAACTCCTCTAGTCCCAACTCTCGTTAACGGTTACAAGCCTCACACGCTTGAACCTCGCTCATGCACGTTCATTATAACTCTGCTTACGTGACTTTTCAGCCACACAACGGGTTTTATCATAAATCATACACTCGCTCATTCGATGAAGGAACATGCAAGTGTATTTGAGATCCGGCAGTCCTTACACCCTTCTCACCACTCGGTAAAGATGATAACATGTCCTGCGGACATGCATCAAACCGTTACCTCACCCTACGGGTTCTGCAGTACTCAGATCTAACACATCCGAGGCTGAACCTACACAAAACGTTAGTATACACTCGG